AATGGCGGTAAAATTGTCCGATTCTGATCACGTAATCGCCGGATATCACTAGATATCTGCAATCCGCCAAATTACCCATATCCGCCAAATTACCCCTGTTTACCTTATAATCCGAGTTTCTAAAACATTGAAAAAAAATTTTTACGTATACGTACATAATTTTTGTGCTTTTATAATTTAGGCAATTCAAAATTAATTTTGTTAAACAAAAAAAATTAATTTGGAATTGCCTTAATTATAAAAGCACAATAAAAAAAATTTTTTTCAATGTTTTAGAAACTCAGATATTTAATACGTACGTACGTATATATTTACGGCATATATATTTTTCTAAAGTTCGCAAAATCGATCCGACTGATTTAAAAAACCCAGCAAGTCAAATTTGTGCTGCCCTAATTAACAAAATGCCACTGATTCCTGTACCACCACCGGCAAGATATACTTACTTAGTGTCTCGGTAATTCATATCGAGAGGCTTCATTTTGATTTATTTTTTTTTTTTGATTTTTTTTTTTTTACTTTTAAAACTAATACCTAAATTATGTGTCAAATTTTTTCATAAGACGTGGTGACCTTGCACTCTCATTTCTGGCAGGTTCGCTTGCGTTTTACTTCGCTGGGCCATCAGTCGATGATTCGAGAACGAAAATCCCCGAAAAAAGTTTATGGAATCTAATCAAACGGCGGTTTAAAAAAATAGTTAAAATTAATTAGCTGCTCATTCACATATTTATTTATTTAATAAATAATATAACTGACAGAATTTCTCAGCCCGATCACTATGTTATAACGAGGGTAGACTGTATATAGCTATACGTAACACCCAATATAGCCAATAAAAAAGGACTGCATGCTTCGCCACAGTCATTTTCATATAAATATGTAAACAGTCTCGGGCCTTTTCGCGGATACTAACATAGATCTTTGTTTGATCGTCCATGGATTACGGATCTGCTCAAGCTAAAGATTTCTCTTATTCATTTTGCTTAACAAAAGACTTAGAACTCCCTCTCACTGTGCGAATGTAGGTTAATGACTAATTTCAGAGAAATGTTAACATCAAAGTAATTCACACTTGTAAATAATTCACACGTTTTCAGCTCGAGTCTTGAGGGCATTCGTGATAAGAAATCTTTTACCACTATACTTAGTGATCCGTCTCTCAAATTTACGGGTGTGCAAACAAGGTATTTTTTACGAGCAAAAGTTTTTAATGTTCAAATAGGTTAGCATTAAAATTTTCCAATTCTACTATTAGCAACTTTTCTGATTTATATGTGAGCATTCAACTATACGGTGACAACAAGCCGCTTACTGTTCCAATTAGGACTTCATACAAATCATTCAAGAATAATTGGATGTATGTATTAAATGTGATTCTTGATTCTTGTTATGATATGAATTTTAATATTATTTGAAAAAATCTCAGTTGGAACGAATGGCTCACAATTCCCGTGAAGTATCGTGATCTTCCCGTTACTTCTCAATTAGCATTAACAGTGTGGGATGTTTACGGTCCGCGCAAGGTAGTCCCAGTGGGTGGCACCACTTTTCGCCTTTTTGGAAAGCACAAGTAAGATAATATTGATGCAATAGATCGAGGAACGATACTATAATATTATGATGAATGACTAATATACCCATGTAGTACTTTGCGAAAAGGCAAACATAAATTGTATCTTTGGCCAGATGTGGAAGCTGATGGTTGTGTGCGTACAACCACGCCCAGTAAGGTTGGTGACAAAACTGAAATGGATCGATTGGAAAAGGTACAACCTATACATTATTTTATATAATACGAGATTAATTATTTCATCCAGTTTACGATATTGATGTTGTTACTCAGTTGGTTAAGAGATATGAAAGGAATGATATGGCGAAGTTAGAATGGCTTGATAATCTTGCATTCCGTCAAATTGAGAAAGTACATAAGGTATGGATGTGTGTGATGATTTATTCAAAAGATATATTTGTGGTTAACAAGGTATTAATTTATTTCATTAGCAAGAATCATCAAAATCAAAAAACTTATATTTGTATATCGATTTGCCAAAATTTGACTTTCCAGTAGTGTTTAGTGAACCTGTAAGTATGAAATGGTTAAGTTATATATATAAATATATATTTCATGACTAGGCTTTTTTTTTTAAAAGGATTATCCACTGCCAAGCATCACACAGCCACCAGTAGCAAACAATGGTCATGGGCAGATTAATACAGTCACAACTTCGAGTGACCCGAACATAATTCTCATTGTTGATCCAGAGATTACACGTGAAAATCCAGTAGAGGCAAAACATAGACGTTTGGTGAGAAGCCATCGTAATGGGCCATTTGATCGTGATATGAAACCAAATGCGAAAATTCGAGATGAATTAAATGTAAGGTTACAAGATAAAATGTTAATTAAATTGTGAAGAGCAGTTGGTCTGGCTTGTATTAAAAAGTACATCATAATATTGCTTTCTATAGGGGATATTGAAATATCCTCCAACACAACCCCTTACCTCGGAAGAAAAAGATCTGCTCTGGAAATTCAGATTTTATCTTACTCGTGAGAAAAAAGTAAACATGGACAAAATCTATTATACTGTAATATAAAAAATTTGCTGACCGTTTCTTTTATTTA